TAAGGAACACATAAATGTACAACTTTGAGGAGAATTTATCGTCAATTTGTCTTCTGAAAATGATGTGAAAAACATGGGAAACGATGAATGAGCAATAATATATGCAGGCTAGTGGCGTTTCGACAGTGTGTCTGACCGAAACCGTATAATTTGAGGCAGGTTTCGTGAGAATTTCAACGAGGGTAATTAATCTAAAAAAATGTAATAGTTAGTGCTAATTCTAGTTCACTTTTCGACGATATTTCACACCTCCATGACGGAATGAAATTTGGACCCGAGTCCGGCTGGCCCCATACTTAAACTTTCAACGTGTTCTCGCACAAGTGCACGTTTTGTGAAATACGATCAAAGTTACTTGACTTCCGTGTTCCCGATAGTAACGGATGGGACCAGAACTCGCGATTCGATGACAGAGTTCAGCTTAATGACGAAAGAGCCCTACCTGATGCAGTAGAGCTATGGCTCAACAGGTATTGAACTACAAGACAAAACAGAGTACCGCCACTATAATTGCATCGATATACCATTTCCGTATACTACGGCTTATTTTTTACAAAAAAGTCGTTTGCTTGAACATTTTTAATATCTGGTCTCCCAACAAGAATTTGAATTCTCTCGCACAAGAAATTGAGTGGTGGTAGCACGACCTGATTAAGAAATTTCACAGTAACCCTGTCGATAAAGGGAGCAAATCCTATTATTTCGCTTGGAATATTCTCTTAAAAGCGCTTCAGAATTATTCTGGCACGGCCTACGTCGAATGGACTTTGGCTATCCTTGTGCAGATAGGTACATGGAAATTCAAACACAAGGGCTTTGGAATTCACGGTTGATTCTTCTTCTTCTTCTTCTTCTTTTTCTTGTTATTATTATTATGAATAAGGGTATTGTGTAAAGTTCCAAACAGGTTAGTGTCCATAATCACGAGGTGCCTAGTAAATAAAAGGCATTTAATCTCTCCTGTGTGAAGACAACAACTTTGATAAGGGACACGCTAACAAGAAACCATAAAAGATAGCCGAGATGACGCTGTTGGAAAATTGACAAAATGGCTAACAGTACGACTTGCACAGTACATTGTCTAACTTGTGAAGTGAGAAGATCAAAATTTGAGGAGCTGATTTAACCCGCATTTGGGATTGTTTATTTCGTTTACTAAATTAACTTGAGGCGCAAAATGCTGTTTACTGGGAAAGAGTTCAATTCAGGTCAGTATATTGAAGGGAAATAGGCACAGAATTGGTATGATCCGGAGTTTCTCGATATCCAAAGGAGCTCATACACTATTCAACGCTGCAGATCAAAACTTCTTGTTTACGCGTGTTGTACTATAAAAAGAAATCAATATAAACCAGGAAATATTTAACTACATTTTTACAGGGGCCAGAACTTTTCGTTTTGCCTTTATGAAAATTGGGTGAATGCAAGTATGACAAATGACATGGTTTTCGGAAAAACGAGAGCGGATTCAACTTTTGAAAAAATATTTTTTGCAAATCTGGTGCGTTTTGTGCAGAAGATGTATTCCTAATTTTCAGGGAAGTCAAAAAACCAGGGAAATTTCTCATTTTTATTTCGACTTAACCTTCAAAAAAGGTAAAGTACGCAGATATTGGAGGCAAAAATAAAAGCGCTTTTTCAAGAGGTAACTTGTTATAGAAGGTTTTTTAATCTTAGGCGTATTCATTTCTGATTTTTGCTGTAAACATTTATTTTTCTCGCCAATGAGTTGATATGTTTGGGCGATTCTAAAACGATGACCCAAGCAGACAGGTGCATCAGAAAGAATGTTCAAAAACTACATACTTAAGTATTCTTGAAGGTTTTGGCAAGCATGTAGAACAGGATCCTTATTTATGGACAATCGACTTAAAGCACTGAAAATCGGGAAGTGTTTACCACTGTTTTAAGAACGATCTTAACCTCTTCGTAATCGAATTCCCAAAATAATTACACAGAAATGTGACGGAAGGAAATTCCTCTTAATATATACAAAATAATACATTTACGATTGCATCTGATAAATCCATTTAAATGTATTAGTCATCGACCGCCATGTCCACATGTGACCTCATTAAATATTTTATTCATGTGACGTCCCAACTGACGCAATCAAGCAAAAATCTGGTTGCTTTAGGCCAATGTATCTCAAGACACTTACACGGCGAATAAACAATTGACAGTTCTCGAAAATTCTCGCTGGTGTACATGTTTGAACTTCGGGCTGTTTGGTAACAGCCACACTTTAGGTTGCGGGCAATATGGAAGCCGAAAATTCCACAAAAGGAATATTTTGAAACGTAATTCTACTTGTGCTGTTTTATTCACTCCGCCTTTTGCATGAACAGACTTTATCTACATTTAAGACTTAGGTTTACTGAGTAACTCCCCTTTTTCACCTTTCTTTGGAATTTTCCGTTTTTCTAAGATGACTATTATTTCCAAACAACGTAATTGCAACATTTTACATAATAAACCACAATATACCTTCTTTTTTATTACGACGCTTACTTTACTAATTTACTGTTTTTCTTACTTTACTGCTGTAAGACTTTTTTGAAGGGGACAGAGGCGGGGCCGGGCAGATTGGACTGCTTTTGCGTACCAGGGATTTTCTAGTAAAAAAAA